TTTCTGGACATGTGCAGATATGGTCATCTGCTTCTGTTTTTTGGACATCTTCAGGGGTTATCTGTGGACTTAATACTTAGATGGGTGTGTATTTTGGTATTTTTTATGCTTTCTGAATGCCTCCAGGTACATGCGATCAGGAAATGGGCTTCTCTTTTCACTCTTCTTCCTGAGAAGTTTCAAGATAGCACTGTTGGTTGTTTCTACGTAACTCAGAATTTAATTTTTCGCCTATTTCCTCTTTTGTCTGCTTGCTTCGCTCCACAATTCCCTTTCAGGCCCTTTTTCTAGTTAGAAACAGTTCAAGGGCGGCTGTGGCCGTTTGGTTTTAATTTGAAACTGTCTCTTTAAATTTTGAGGTGCAAAACAAATTAACTAATGCTTTCTCTTTTAGGCGGAGGTTTGATTTACAAAATCCGTCCCGAATGGATCGAAATGTTGAAATGTTTATGAATATTGAAAAAACATTGGTGCAGGTAACTTGGATTATTTTTTAAAAAATTAATATACTTTAGTTTTAATATTGACCGTATTGGATTTCCAAAAGATCACAAAGAAACATTTCTGAAATCTTTTATTTTTATGGGATTTTGGGCATTAGAGCTACAAACTATAATTAATCTTGTTATTTTAAGAATAACTTCTGATGGAGCAGTCTCATATTGTTCTTTATTTTATATAATCCACTATTTTAATCTCACATTGATGTATCATACTCATTTTAGTAGCCACTTGTTTATATAGTGATTTTCTTTAGATTTTTTCTTTGTTCAATAAATGTCTTGTTTATCTAAGTAGATTTATAACCTGGAGGGAAGAACAATTAATTTTATTTTAGCTTCTATTTCATAATATTTTTATTGCTCTGTGAATTAACTTTACCACAGTGGAAGGGGTAGGGTATAGCTGGCAAAAATTCACCTAGGTATTAACTTTAATTTGGTATCTGGAATTGGTTTGCTCCATGGACCAGTGACTAAAGAAATAATTGGGTGATTTTTGTTTGTAGATTGATATTTTGTGCTATGATCTAAAGAGTTTATATACACATTTTAGCTATTCCTATATTTAAGATTGGTCTTGTTTAGTACCGTCCAGTTGATTCCAACTCTCACTTACCCTCTCTAGGGTTTGTAGAGAGTGGCTGGTGAGTTTGAACCATTGACTTTGTAGTTCAAACTGACCTTGCAGTCCAGTACTTTATCCCAGAATGCCACATCACGATTTTGTTCTAAGATTACAAGTGGGAAAAATGAGCTATTATCCATTGTCTTTATTTTCTATTAAATAAATAAGGAGCCTCTGGTAGCATAGTGGTTACGAATCGGGCTGCAAACCTTAAGGTCAGTAGTTTGAAACTACCAGCCACTCCTCAGGAGAAAGATGAGGCTTTCTGCTCCTGTGAAGATTTATAGCCTAGGAAACCCTGTACAGGGTCGCTGTGGGTCGGAACTGACTCAGTGGCACTTAACAACAATAGCAAGAAATTGCATGATGAGTCAAATGGGTGCTTTTTTTCCTTCCCACGTAAAAGATATAGCTTAAAACACTACATTAGATTGTTTAGCTGTAGGTTTAGCTACAATGAACAAGAATAATTAATCAGGGCAATATGGAACCTTAATTTTGATGCTGAATTCCTGTAGGTCATGAGTTTCAACATTTTCAACATTTTATGTCCAGGTGTACCTAATTGAAGAGAAGGAATGTGGGGTTAGCCTTATGATGAGGCATGTTTTACCTTGCGATGTGGCTTTTATATTCTGATCCAAAATAAAACTTCCCATTTTAAGAAGTATGACTTTTGAATACCAGCTTTTGCCAGTGTATGAATAATGTGGCATTGTTCCAAAGCAAAGAGAATTTCAAAGTCTTTTCTTTCTTCCGCAGAACAATTGTCTGACCAGACCCAACATCTACCTCATTCCAGACATTGATCTTAAGTTGGCTAACAAGTTGAAAGATATCATCAAGCGGCATCAGGTAATAGACACAGTCACTTCAGAAACACGAAATATTATTCAACCTCTTACAAATATCAACTCTGATACCTTTTGATTTCTCTTTATTGCTACATTAAAATTGTTTTATGTCATTGGGTTTTTGCAGTATGAGGTGTTTTCATTCCATTTGTCTTCATTTCTTAGCCTAGATAGCATAGCAGCATTAGCCTAGAGTACCATCATTGATTTGGAGTCGTTTTTGTCTTAGTTGCCATTGAGTTGATTCCAACTCATTGCAACTCCATGTATGTCAAAGTAGAACTGTGCTCCACAAGGCTTTCAATATGCATTTGTATATCTACTTGTATTTTTTTCAGAAGTACACCACTAGGCCTTTTCTTTCAACGTGCTTCTAGATGTAGTTGAATACCAGCCTTTTGGTGAGCAGCCAAATGTTATTAACCCACTTGTCTTAATACAGATAATTCCTATAGTTAAGGAAATCAGTGTGTCTTCATCACAAAAATTGGCATCAAATAAGTTTGAGTTACTTTTTAAAATTACCACAAATTTTCTCCCCCCTCCCATAAGCTTGCTTTGTCTTGATATACATTGATATATATCTGCACTGTGTTGTATTTCCTCTAGCTCCATTTTTAGGCTGAGACATTGGATATTTGTAGACTATAGGTTTGTGATCATAGGCAGCAAAACTGTAATTAAATCTGTGAATATGGGTAAACCCAGGAATTAGAGGAAACCCAGGTAGAAGATACTTTTCTTAAACAATGTTGTTTGAATAGCAAAGTTTTAGCAATCCTTAGGACTGGTTGAGAAACCCTATCAAGTTTTTTATCTATTGGACAAGAGAATTTAAGTTGAATTATGGTTTTAGTATTTATTAAACTATTTTACAAGTTCTTAAAGGTTTCTAATACTGTTTACAATTAGGATTTACCAAAGAGAAAGGTAATATAACTATGATGTCAAATCAGGCAAACTGAAAGTCTAGTATTTATTTTTATCATCATTATGATTTTGAATAAATCGTTTTTTTCTCTGTTGGACTCTGTTTAGTCAAATATCATCCGGTTTGTATGTAGCCCTATCTTAGAGCCCAAGGCCCTAGACCTGTGGCGATTCACTTTGTGATGATTTGGCAGTTACTTTTGGAGTTTGTTAGTTGCTGTTGAGCTGATCCTGACTCGTGGTGAGGTGACCCCTTGTGTATCAGAGTAAGATCTGTTCCCCACAGTGTTTCAAGGATAACACTGCTCAGAAACATATTGCCAGGCTTTTCTTTTGATTTGCCTCTGTGCGAGTTTGAACTGCCAACCTACAGGCTAATATTAAACTGCTTATGCCACTCAGGGATTAAATTCACCCATTTTAAGTTTATAGTTTGATAAACTCTGACAATTTTATACAGTTGTGTAACTATCACTGTAACCAATATAACATTTCCATAATGTTAGAAGTCCTCGTGGGAACCCTGGTGATGAAGTGGTTAAATGCTTGACTGCTAACAAAAAGGTTGGAGTTCAAATTCTCTAATAGGTCATTGGGAGCAAAGATCTGGCAGTCTGCTCTGGTGAAGGTTACAGTGTAAAAACCTCTTTGGGGTGATTCTCCTCTCTCTTAAAAGAGTTTGCTATGAATCTTAAGAGACTTGATTGCCCACAACAACAGCAACAATCAAAGTCCCTTATGCTCCTTTGCAGTCAGTCTCTCACAGCCCTTGAGCTGCTTTCTTTTACTCTGATTCTGCAGGGCTCTTAACTAAAGTCCTCTTCATAATCCCTTTCCTGTACCCTGGTCTATCCTCCCCATCCATCAAGCCTCATCTTGGCATGTCCTTCACTAGAACTCAAGATAGACACATTACTGAAACAGGATCTCTACTGAGAGATAATGTAGAAGGTTAACTAGGCATTTGTATACATTTTCTATACAAAAATGAAAACTCTGTATATTGGCAGTTTGTGTTTTTTTGTGTTTTTTTTTTTACCAGTGTCCTCCTTTCCCTCAATTTAGAATGTTATTGTCTTAATACTTTAATTGGGTCCTGGCCTGGTGTTGTAGGATGAGCACTTACCAGCCACTTCTCGATAACCCTATACAGGGTAACTATGAGTCAGAACTGACTCAGTGGTACTTCACAGTTTCCTTATAAGTGTAACAATGGGGCTTTTGTATACTTTTTGGTGAGTATTTATTTGACATCTCATAGTTTATGATTGCAGTGTACTGTATTTTTACATTTCTTGTTCATTTGCTTTCCAGGGTACATATACTGATGAGAAGTCAAAAGCTTCCCACCACATATATCCATATCCTTCCTCACAAGAGGATGGTAAGTTAGTTTTTTGGTTGACAACTGCTCATCTCATACTCCATTAGGTTTTGAATTCTGTCAACAGAGGTTTAAACTATATAACCAGCTTTGTTTTGAGAAAGAGAATTTGAAATATTAAATTAATTCCAGAGTTTATATAAGTATACATTTTTCTTTAGTGAGAATTATGCCACTTTTGTTGATTGGGACTATGAATTTTATTATTTTTACACTCAGTATTTTTGTTGAATAAATAGTTTGAAGTTTACTAAAGTTATGTTTCATCATATAAGACACATTAAATATAATTTACTGAAAGATTAATTTTGTGTTGTTCAACTTTCTAACCATTATTTCTCCATTTTGCTGCTGCTGTTGTGTGTTTGATGCCATAATTAGACCTAATCCAAGGCCATGTAGATTTTTTCCTAGGTTTTCTTTTAAGAGAAAAAGGTTCTTCTTTTTGCTAATCATAATCAAAGACCTGTTGTTAGGTGTAGGCGTACTTTTTGCATCAGTCTTGGTAAATGATTTCTATGGCTATTGCTTTTTCAAAAGTAAAAGACATCGCAATATAGAAGGAGATCTCTGGGGAAGGAAGACCAGCTTACTGGTTTTTTTAATAGGACTGCACAGCAGGAATTTGGTTTGGTGAATTTACAGTGGTTTAGATTCTTACACTCTGCTCTTCAGATCCTAAAAAGTGTTATTTATTAGCAGAATTCATTACACTTAAGTATATTGCCACTTGCTAAACATTCTGTAAAAGGGTTGAGGTACAAAATTAAATATGAATTATTATTATTATTGGTTTATGCATCTGTTTTGAAGAAAAATCGATTAGTAGCAGAGCTGTAGGTTGATCACTCATCCATTGACAGCTTGAATCGTTTACTCAGTGCTATATTAAACAGTGCATTGAAGATAAATTCATAGTTCCAAGCTTCCTAAAAATTTAATTGAAAATTACAAAATATTTGAGACGCTGTTTTGGAACAGGTCACCCCTTTATTGACAAGCATAAAATACATCACATTTTCTGTCTGCTGATGCTGTAAATTCAATACCAATTCTCCAGCCACATCAGTTATGAGCATAAAGTATATCACGTAACCTCAAATCTGTGACAGTGAAAGGCTTAAACAAGAATGGATGCTGCTAGAGTAATGCAGTGTCCTTCAGTGTGACGTGACAACTGAGCATCCATTTCCCTTCCCCTCAGGTGTTGTCTTCAGCATGTTAGAGCAATGAGGAATGGTTTTAGTCTCATAACCAAGTTAGACTGAAGACATTGGCCACATAATACATAAGCTTTTTTTTTTAACTCTATCTTGGGCAACTGTTCTCTTGTAAATACTTTGTAGCTTTAAAAAGTAGTCACTGGCCTAAACTGGAAGAACTTATGATGTCTTCTCAGTTAAGCATGTGAATGAATGGAGGGAGGTAAACAAAAAATAAAATTTCATAGTATGAGGTGTGATAGGGGAGCTGCAAAATCAAAAGAAAAGAAAAAAAGAAACAAAGCTTTTTCTAGCTACAGTATAGGTTATTCTGATGTTAAGATAGCATCACATGGTGTACTTCTGAGTCTATTCTCGAGATATTTTGTTGTCCTTATTTCTCTCTGTTTTATGTTGTTGTTAAGTGCCATTGAGTTGGTTCCAACTCGTAGCTATCCTGTATAGGGTTTCCACGGAGCAGCTGGTGAGTTTGAACCACCAACCTTGAGGTTCAAACCAACCCTGTGGTCAAGTGCTTATTCTATAGTGCTACATCAGGATTCTTTTATAGATCTGTTCAACTTGTGGCACTTGGGTCATCTGGGTTTTAATCACATAGTTAAATTGGAGATTAGTGATCTTAGAATATCGAGACAAATGGTGCCATTACAGTTAATATTTACTTGATAAATTCTTGTTGTAAATGAAACCTTAGGTGGTTTTAGAGGTTGACTAATCTGTAGGAAAATGAATTGTAAAAAAGAATACACTGTCTTGACATGGTCTGTCATTAGGTCCCATAATTGTTCCTGGCCAGTGAACCATATCCCTAACTGGACCTACAGAACATCTTACTGGAGGGTCATGGGCCAAATCACTAAGTTCCTTATTAATCCATTTCATTCAGTGCCATGGTGGTGGTGGTTATGTGCTGTGGAGTCGGTTTCTACTCAGAGCGACCCAGTACAGGGTTTGCGAGGCTGTAAATCTTTATGGGAGCAGAAAGCCTCATCATTCTCCTGCGGAACAACTGGTAGTTTAGAACTGCTGACCCTGAGGTTCACAGTCCGATTCGTAACCACTACGTCTCTGCTTTTTGTCTGGCTCTGCACTATCTCGTGTGTGTTCCAGGATCCATCCGAACTCTAGATTACCCAGGGAGCAGGGAAGGATTGATTGTGTTTGCATCTCACACTGGCTTTGCTAGATACAGGCGTGTAGCATTGAGGAGAAGCAGGTCTTGCAAAAATCTTATAGCTGCTAACAGGAGGTGTAGCTCTCCAATGACTTAGGGGCAGTTTTGCCTGTATGAATTATTTTATTTTGAAGTGAGAAATAGAAGACCTGCAAGGATGCAACAGTTAAGTCTTTTGGTGACCATGCAGTGCATGTATAGAAGAACACAGATTATGTCAGCAGTCTGACCAGTACAATTGTGATAGGTGTTAACAGGCAAAGATAATCAGACAATTCCCACATGCTTAAAAGAGAAGAAAAATTATTTGCTAAATTTAAGGTTCAGAGGAATATTTAAAAAGGAAATATAAAATCTTTGCAACTGAGATACGTTACAACATTGAGTTTTATAAAATGCAGTTAAAATTATGCCTATAAAGAAATGTACTTCTTTCAATAGACGTATTAGGAGAAGAAAGGCTATAAAAAATCAGTGATCCAGACATATTCCACATGAAGTTAGAAAAATGTAAATTTCCACCTAAACTGCAATAAAAAGTAAAATAAAAATTATGGAAAGTAAAGTTGGAAAAATACCAAATTTAACATAAAGACAAGAACAAAAATTAATGAAATAGAAAATACTGGAAAAGCAAGATGCTCAGCCATTTCAAAAGGGTTCTTGGAAAAGAATGGAATATTGTTGAATAGGAAGGAGAATCAAAAAACAAATATCAAGAATACTTGAGTATTCAGACATTAGAAAAAATTATAAGTTATTACAAGTAGTATGCCTATAAATTTAGATTAAACAGGCAAATAAATGTCTAAAAAATAAAAAGGATGAGCAGTAAGAAATCGAAATTCTAAATAGTTGTGTATGTCTGTTAACAAAATTGATTCTGTCATTTAACAACTGTTCTCAAAATGCAATTCAAATCACAGACAGCTTTGCTAATGAATCTCATCATACATTTAAATGAAAAAGTAACCAGCTTTTCTTAATTGAATGAATGCATCCCAACATTTTTGTGTGTGTGTGAAACTTTTTAATTGTGAATTAATTCAAAGTTTACTGAGAATTGTTAGCACCTAACGACATTTCAACTGTATTTAACATTTTGAAGTATTAGACTGTTTTCCAAAGAAACTACAGCCATTTTAAATCCTCGCTAACAATGTATGAGGTTCTAGTTAATCTCAGCTGCACTTGTTATTAATTGTCCTTTTTTTTTTTTAAATTCTGTTTTGTGCATTTTCTTTCTCTCCATGAAAGTTTACACAAGTTAGGTTCGTATTTGATAATTTCCAACAAATTGTTCAGTGTTCAATATTTCAACATTCTTCTCAACTGTGTTCCATTCCTGGTTCTCTAGTTTCCTTGTCCCCTTCTTATCTTTCTCATGATTTAGAGTAAATAAATGTTAACCTTTCCGTCTCATCAGATTTATTTCATTTATTTATTTTAAAGCATTTATTGTGAATTAAGGGATAGTTTACAGGGCAGATCATCAATTTTGCATTCAGCCAATCATATTTTGTTTCATTGCAATGATTACATTCCTCTTTATGCACCATTAGTTAACAATATTTGCCTCTATTTCCTCTTTCCTTTTTTTTTTTTTTAATGTACAAAGAACACACAGAAAATATATATTCATTTAAACCACCAAAGGGCACATTTTGCAAGCCAGTTTCCTGCCCCCCCCCCCCCGTAGGTACGTAGCATTTCTCATTTTATGGGTTGAGAGTCAGCTGCTCGCTCTCTCTTTGAGACATTGTCACTTTTCTGGTTAGGATCCCATGCTCTTCCCTTTTGATGATCCTAGGGTCCTCTGTTCTTGGAAAAAAAAATTAACTACTCCCCCCTTTTTTCACATCTTCTACCTTTATAGTTGTAATATTTGCAATAATTCATGATAACAATTACTCACTGTTGAATCAAAAGAATCCTACCCCTTCTCCTTTCCCCAGACCCATCTGGACATGAGGAAAACTATTCAGTGAGGATTCTACCATGCTCCCTCATTCTGACTAAGCACACTCTTGACAGCTTATAAGCCAGCCACTTTATGCCTTTATAGTCCCCCAGTTTTGTGAGCCATTGTCTACGTTGCCTGTCCATATCAACCCTGTGTACTGAGGGCATAGGCTTGATCCTTGATCTGATGAATCCTTCCCTCTCGGTTGGAATTTTGAGCAGCAACATCCATAAGCAAAGGTCAAATTCATCAAATTGTAGGCATTTACATGTGTTTCTTGTACCAGACTTTTTTATCTTCCTCTAGTTGAGTTCTGATCGTGAAGCCAGCCAAGCTAGGTCAGATGGGTACTATGTGCAAGGTTGGATATTCTTGCGTGCCTCCCCCCACTTCAGTCCAGCTGGCCGCTTCACTTGCAGCTCTAGCCTTCAATGGCTAGGTCAGTGTCCATGGGCTTGAGAGTTCCCAAGTCTCCCTAAATTTCAGACCAGCCATCCCTTCCTCTTCTCTCTCTCATCTCAGGGTTGGTGGGTGCCTTTGGAACATGGGCAGACTTAGCCCATGTCTTCATTGCTGCATTACCTCCACTTCCACTCACAAGTATACCAAGGCGGTCACCAGCAAGTTTACAAGCCTGCTT